CAAACATGTTTAAATAACCTTATTGCACCTTTGCTAGAAATGTCTCTTCCAAGCATCCACTAATCCTGCTATAAAATAATACTTTCTAAGATTAGTTTTGAACTTTCCTCCTGCTAGTTTGATCCATATCCATTCTGTAACCGGTAGGTAACACTGTGTAAATTAACAATTGGTGACAACATCTCATTGATGATTACAGGTTAAAGGAATTTTTACTTTTTTATAACTTTACAATCAATGTGCCTTTAATTGTCTCAACATAGCCACAGTCAGCAAAAAGTTCAACAATTTGAATTTATGTGCATGTTCAGTCAAATATTTATTTTTAGTTTTGGTTAGCGTGTGGAAGGATCAGAATTCTGTCAGGATTTGCTATCTTTGTTAGATAGATTTTCCCTCACTTGAGTTGGCCACCCACTGTTGGAATTTCAGCTGATCCGAGCTGTGGGTGGCCACCGCCCGATTTAACAACAGTCTATTTTTCAATTGAATTTTGTTGCAGGAGCCAGGTGGAAAATTATTGGCCGAACAGTGCCTACATCGAATCAGATTTCTCCCGCAGCTGCTAAGTACAATGGCTGGCAACATGGATTCACCCATCCACACTGTTTAGCATGTACTGGGGAATCTAATGATTTACCTTGTTCAGTCCGTGGTGTGTGTGGCTAGCCTTACTGTCCCAATGGTAATGGTTAAACCAGATAGCAAATGAGAGAAAAGTTCCAATAGTAACACAGGCAGAAACAAAAATGCAATTGTTTAGTAGAATAGGTAAATTATATAACCCCTGTCAGCTTTAATGCTGTCTGTGTGCTTGTTGAAGATTTTCCCTCACTTATTCTCTGAAACCATAATCACCGAGACGGCATGTAAGGAGAAATCTCTCTAACACAGCCCCTGATAGCAGTAAAACCCAACGGGGTTCTAATCTTTCCACCTTCTATCTAAAACTAAAATTGTTTTGGTTTGGCTTACAATTTAAAAGAACAAGATTATATAACCTATAATCAATAGTGTATACAGGGTGATAGAGGTTTCAGCTGTGATCAGCAGGCCCTAAGGATGGATCCTAAGGGACCTGAACGGCAACCAATACAACCTATATTGAAGGAAGTTCTCTTAAGGTCAGGAGCCTCCGTACATTACCTCTTTTTATGTAATACAAAACTGCTGCTTTCAATACATTTATGCTAAAACCTCCATTTGTCAGTAGTGATGATTCTCCACAAGTGCCTGCAGGATAATGACATTGTGGTGGAATTGCAGATGCTCATTCAGTGTGATGATGTCAAGGCATATGTGGGGCACTTAGCATTTCTTATAATGAAGCAAAATACATTTTACAGTATATACACGGTAGGAGAAACAACAGGCATAGCCACAACCAAGCTGAATTGGTATGCATGAGGCCCACAGTAAGGAATCAGGGCCATTCATGTGTTATTTGTGTAAATGCTGACACTTTCAGAGATACCAGCTATGGGTAGCGGTCATTATCAGCCTCAGATATATAAGAAGTATGGAAATTTGGGAAAATGGGAACCAAGGATATTGCAGGAATCTGCACGATGATGATGTTAGGTCAGAAAGTCTTCAGAGCACAATCAACTCCATGTATGCTCTTGCAACAGCAGATAATCCTTAGAACTCTTGTGAGCCTCATTTGTTGCTACTCAATATACAATATACTTTCGAGAAAAATCTTTTTTATCTGACTAGTGACTGTTCAGAATAAAAGTTTATATTTGAGAAGCAGATCATAATACACCAGCGTTTCTGTTGGCCACAACCTTTTTTGATCACTTTGGGTATTTCACACTATGCAAGTGTAGGCAATATATTATTAGTAGGGTAAAAATTCCATATGTTATTCTAAATATAACAAGGTGTCTGAATCCTCATTAATGGAGATGTCATAACATCATCAGCAGGTATTGAAACGCTGAGAAGAATTAACACCCACATTTTCTTAGGGAATCGAGACTGAAGTACGTCATCTATTTCCCCCTTTCCGGCACCAGATTGAGAATCTTTTTTTTTCTGTTTTAATTTTGGACGATATGTGTGACAGACTGCAGCTCAATGACAGCATAAATGTGTTAATATATGTACTGAGGTATAGGAAGAATAAAAATAACCTCAGAGTGAAAATTGGACCACTTAATTAACACGGTGCTCTGAGAAGCATTTTCAGCCACATGTCTGCTTTTCTTTTCACACCTCTCAGCTAAATAGAATTTAACCAGAACGCTCCCACTGACTGGGTCTTGGTGTCTGCAATGTTATTTTTCAGGGCAGGGGCAGGTCTGTCTTCTGACCCCTGAATGGCAATTACTGACACTTGGTGAGGTGTGCAAAAGCTAAGAATGCCTTTCAATTCACAAGCATATTTGTAGTAAACCTATTGACTATATAACAGTTGCAGTAGGGTGCCTCAGTGGTTAGAAATGTTTTCTTGCCATGCTGAGGTCTTGGATGTAATCACAGCCTGGTTTCTACCTGCACAAAGGTTGCAGGATCTTCTTCTGCTCTACTTTCCTTACACAACCCCTCCAATAAAGATCACTTTTTAAATCTGTTTTTTATCCAGGATACATCAATGACAATTGTGACATGTCAGGAATTTAATTATGTAGATCTGTAAAGTTACTGATAGGTCTGCTCTAAATAAGAAGATTTCCGAAATCAGGTATAGTCAGAAAGGAAGGTACTAGAATAATACATTTTGTGGCCAGACAACTGAGATTTAGCATCATCACTGCTTTAGGCTAAGCCACTTTGGCATTTTTCAGTCAAACTAGAATGTTGTTTTGTATGTGGCTGGCCTATGTAAAACAATTAAACAAAATGGGGTTAATTTCAAGGAAGATCAAGTTGCATAATTGTAAAAAGCCTTGATTGTGCATAGATCACCAGGGTTCCCAGGTATCAACAGTTTACTCATTATGTTTAACTGTTATATATAGAGCAACAGGTGCAACTGGTGCACAGTTCCCTAACTGATCAGGCATTCAGTTTTCAGTTGTACTGTCGCAAAGTCAAATACCATTTTCCTCACAAAGAAGAGCAGCAGTCTAAAGGCAGTTGAGGTTGCACTCATATCTTTTACATCTAGCAAACTCAGGGTAGTACAGTATGTGCCATATCAGGCCCACAGCTCATTTCACCTGAAAGCATCTTTAATATGACTTAGTCTCTGATGCTATTTATAAAAATAAAAAAAGTAACAAGAGGCCCAGCCTACAAAGAAATACATACTCATCCCATTACCCGCTCCGGAGAACTCTGTCATTAAGTGATACATTTGCTAAAGAATCGTCCATCATACTCTGGGTGTGTCAGATGCCTGGTCCCCCGCTGTGCTCTGACGTTCCCTCCAGTAGCCCTGAGGTCACTACTATGACCAGTCTTGATGTAGCGGCTGGTGGATCAATCCTCAAAGCTCATCGAGAAGCAGGCATCCAACACTCTTGCAGTGGACCTATGCAAAAGGCTTTTCAACAAGTTTCTCTGAAGACAGTGGAATTCAGTCAATGAGATCAGTAAATGTTAATTATTTTCTTAGCTTCCTGGGCTTTATTTCATTATTATTTATTTTCTGTTGCTGTAGTAGAACAATGGGAGAAGTAATTGCTGACATTTTTAAATGAGCAGGCTTTGACTTTACATCTTAGTGAGTAAGCAAGTATGCAGATCGAGAGATGTGACTTCCTGCTTCAGTTCAATGCCTCACCAAAGAGGGAGGCGAGGGTAAAGATAATAGTCCAAAAACTTAGTAGCAAGTCAGCAGTGGCAGCTCCCAATTTATTTACTGGCATGTTCTCTTTAAAGACCCCAGACATACAGAATGATTGTACAAGGTGTATGGTGCTCCACAGCAGTAAACCTCGGCTTACTGCACAAGATGTCAACTATGTGTACTATCTCTTCCTTGGACTGGAAGCCTTCCTTCATTATGATCTGTTCTAATAAATTAATAAATATACATTTTTCTTTTGCATACATCATTTAGTAATTTACTTTACTGGTCCTTTAATGAATGCAAACATCATTAACTTATCTTGCTGTATCAGTTACATAAAAGCATGAACCCATGCATAAATGACATGCATCACACAGACTGAAGTCAGTAGGACATCTTAAGGGACTGACCTACACAATAAGATGTCTGCAGTACCTGTCACTTCTCCTCTAATTATGTGTGTCTGTTATATTGACTTGCAAGTTATTTGACTAATTAACATTCATTTATGAGGCTCCAGTAATGGTGATTGGGGTGAGAGGATACAGAAGCTAATTATTCAGTATCGGTAATTGGTATAGGACTTTGTTATAACCTAGCTGTGATATATAAGGTATATTAAGAATATCAATAATGCACTCAGACACACAAACAGACTCACTCAAGCCTCTGCCCTTATCTAACTGTGATAGGATGGGTTTCATAGAAACTATAAACAAGGCGGGCATCTGTTTGGGCACATAAGGCTAGCCATAGAAAAGCAGTCTTTAGAGAAGATTAGATGAAAATTCAAAAATGATTTCATGTACACGTATGGCATTGCAGCATTGTTAATACAAAAAAACGTTACTGATGGCAGATAGAATGGGGGATATTGCTTTAAATTTTTTTCCAAGTTGTTGGAAAGTTGTTACAAATGAGCAATTTTGGGAAATGTTATCAGTACAGCACAGAGCTATCACCGTCTAAAAGGTATCTGCTGCTGTACAAACAAGTAAATTAAATGACAGAATACCATAAAATTGCACCAATTGCATTAAACAATTGTGAAATATGTTTATATTGTTCTCCTACTTACAAATATTTTGATGAAGATTTTGGCTGAATTTTTTATGCATTTTCAATGAATATCTGTGAGATGTTTGTCAAATCTTCATAAGAATTAGCCTGTCCATGGCACGCCTAATACCATTTATATCCACAGTTAACATACAACCTCCAACCTCATATAAGGAGGGCACATTCGTGCTCCCCCTACCTCTTTTCACCCTGAGTATTCTGGTTCTGTTGAGACCCATTGGTTTGCAGATCAGGAATATTGGCAAAGTCGTCCTGCTCGGAGAGACCCAGCACCAAAGACAGCACCACCATGCGGCCTTCCCTGCCCATAGTCCAGGGGGTGAAAGAAAAGAAGAGGAAAGAAAGAAGACAAAAGAATCAGAGAAAAGAGAGTAATTATCAAGCAATAAGTAATCAAGGAAAGCAGATAATGTTCTTTTATCAATACAAGAAGCATAAGATACAAACAAACAATCATGCAGGTAAGGAATATGGTGGCATGCAAAGGAAATAACATCAGATTAGGATTGCCAATACATAATTTATACTTGTACTGTCATCATGTATGTGGGAAAAAAACAGTTTCTAAACAGATAGCTCGGAAGCTTGGACATTTGTTATGGAAGTCACTTGTCCATCCTATCCCCTTGGAGCTGTTGCAGCATTGTTCAGCTAAGATGGGGTCCGAAGGCTAACTGAACACATCTACCGTCTAAACTGGGTAAATGATAGAATTCAGCTGAAATTACCTGAGTTTGGAACTAGGTACAGGGAAGCTGGAATATTTAGACTGCCATGCCATGGTCTCCACTTTGGACAGCAGATGGAGATGAGATCATTATTTCAGTGCAATCATATTTCTTTCCATATAGTTCTAACATCGTTTCTTTATCAAGAAGAAATGCTTCTTTGCTTGACTACATATATCATGTAACCCTTTTCTATTGTCCTTCAGTTTGGTCACCTTTTTATCACCCGTTTAATTTCCATTTCTTCTCATTCTCATGTGTATTCTTTTCCATTTTTCCTGTTTTGATTCCTCTTGCCTAAATGAACATCACGTGGTGACTGAAAGTTCGAAAATAATCCAATCACAGAATGATGTCCTGGCTGCCCGACATTAACAAAGACATTCAAACATTTTTCACATAAGTATACCTTACATTCTGTTCAACTGACAGCCCTAATTTCAACCTTTTTGTGTGGAAACAATAGCTATAGGTTAAAAGTGATCATTGCCTGGCAGAGACAACATTGTTTTGAATGGACAGCAATTTCAGTACTCTGTGCTTTCCTTTCCCTACTTCTCAAATGTTTTCCTTCTGCTCATACAGCTTCTTCCTCCTGCTCTTTTTCTTATCACATGTAATATATGAATCTGCACTCCTCCATAATTTATGCTATTGCCATAACACTCTTCTTTCCTTCTAGACCTTTTATTATGCCTTCCCAGTATATCCATTCATCCATACAACTTTTCCCTTGTCCATCACATCCACTCATGTATACATCCTTTCAATCCTCCATCCAGCCATCCATTGTTGTCTCTATCCAACATTGTAGAAGAATATAGGTCACCAGCACTCAAAAATAATTCAAGATGAATAAGTCCTTTTTATTGGACAATTGTGTCACGACAATCAAGGAGCCGACGTTTCGGGGCCACGCAGGGTCCCTTTTTCAAGGCAAAAGATGTGACCATCATGCCTTGAAAAAGGGACCCTGCGTGGCCCTGAAACGTCGGCTCCTTGATTGTCGTGACACAATTGTCCAATAAAAAGGACTTATTCATCTTGAATTATTTTTGAGTGCTGGTGACCTATATTCTTCTACTTTGTGTTTTGCACGGTGCCATCCGTGTTAGTTACTGCGAGCACCACCTTTGTTAATTGGCCGGGACTGCTGAAAGGTGTGTGGAGAGCACCCCCACCAACTGCAACTCTATCCAACATTGGACTCAATCTTATTACCTTTATGTGTACTGTCCCTCCCATGTATGTCCTTGTCTCTTGGTATAGAACTATAATCTTAGCTCGGTGCCATTGTGATTCCATCACATATTTTACAGAATACATATAGTCTTTCTCCCAGCCTTCCACATAAACATTAAGTTGACCATTAATTATTTCTGGGCCATAAATGAAATACCTTCTGACTACATAGAATATGACATTCACATTTCACTGCAGGGATTTGCAGTAACATGAAAATGGTAATGCACAGGGTGAAGGTTTGACCTAGTTTTGCCTTGACTTTAACACTGTGTATTTTAACTGGCAAGTATGTTACAACTGTGCCCAAAATCCAGTGATGGTTTAGCCATTGTTTCTTTGATATTCAAGGCAATATCTAAACAGGAGACCTAGAAACCTCTGGAAATGTAGCACAGAAAATACTTAAACGAAAACTGAGAAATGTGATGATAGATGAGCATGAATTTGTGGGAACCATATAAGCTACAGCAACACCAAGCTGACCTTCCAGTTGACCACTCCATCTTGTGAAACTATTACTGGCCCTTATGATAGCTGATTAAAGACCAAATAACCACATGTTTGTTTCTGACATTAGTTTGCAGAGTAGTATTCAATGATTAGACATAGTAGACATAAAACTACTATATGATGGAGGTATCAAAACCATACCAAGACATTTAGCACTACTTTGGACCAAAAGCTGCAGTGGACATTTTCAGTCATCATCCATCTTCTCAAACCAGTTAATTGGAGTTAGGTAATTGTTCCCATGTCCCCCAAACATATCTTCCATCATATATTATTCTATCAAGTCCAGCTGACAACTGGAAGTAAAGAGCAGCCAAACAACAGGATAAGACATGTTCCCATCCTGGTACATGCTGACCGTATAAATGGATTGTGACGGTCACAGGGCATGGGTTTATGTTCCGTCCTTCCTACCGACAATGTTCGAGGCGCTGTTTTTTTAATCTACTACAAGAAAGGATTAATTAACCTCATGATCAAACTGTGCAGAGCTTGAAATATGATTCCTCCGATTAGTCAGACATGAGGCTGCAGCGCACTTGCAGTAGAGCCTGCGAGACGTGTTGGAGCCACTCCTGAATTAACCCCTTTTTGCATTTTGATGATGAGATAGGAGATGAGACAGTTCATGGGTGTAAGAAAAAAGCATGCCATGTTTTTTGTTCTCCTGCCAGATGGATCAGCAATAGTCAGCAGACTCTGAAAGGAAGTACCTATATACTGACTTTTCTGTAGCTATTTTAAAACAGTCATATGAAATCGTTTTTATTTTTAGCTCCTTGAAGCCTCAGAAAAAACAATGAAAAAGGAACAATGCACTGCAAAGTGTCAGGCTTCTAAATCTGGAGGGAAAAACACATTCACAAGATCATTAATTCACACATTCCACCGTGCTTCTCAAGACTGTGGACTCAAAAGATAGAAGGTTTAAAAAAACCTTGAATTAATAGTTTAGCTTATATATATATATATATATATATATATATATAATGAATGTAAACAATATTAAAATCTTTTATTTGTAAAAGAGTTCTAGAGCATAAAATGGAAGTTTGAAAAGTGAAACATTAACAATTTTCACTCACATCTGTCCCCCAACCTTCCCCCCACACACACTTTATTAATCAGGCAGTATAAAGTTTTAGACCAATTCAATTCTGGGAGCAAATGGTCTGAGTCTTATTTGTATGTCAAACACATAGAAATGTAGGTGATGTTTCCAACAACCATCCAAAGAAAGCTTAGATGTGCATTTAACATATTTTATGCATGTTATGTACTTGTAAAAGCCTCCCATGTGTACACATCTAAAAGCCCTAAGTCTTCTTCTGGGTGCCGCTATCTTGTATGTGATGTCAGCAGCCCCCAGCAGAGTTAGAACCATCACTCAAGTTACACTTGTAAAATGTCCCTTTACTAAAAGCTTATGTAGGGAGGTGAGGCGAGAGGCAGTGATGTTGGGTCAGCACAGAGTAATTAGACACTTCCAGAACAGAAGAGGGCTATGATGTGCAAGAAGGTAGAGCATTGTGCTAGAGAACTGACTTTCCTAGAGTCATTTCTGTGACATTTGACATTTCTGTGCTTCCTAGAGTCATTTCTGTGACACATACTTGACATTTCTGTGCTTTTAACTGCAATTTTTGAAGTTGGTGACAGGGTCTCTAAGCTGTCTCTAATTAGTGATGAAGGAGGTAAATCAGTTGCCCTTTCAATAACAGGTTGCCTTGGAGTTCCATAAACAGTATGTTAGGGCACGAAAGAAAAAATAGGAAAGTGTCCCCATGGGACAGAGGGCTTTGGTGACTGTTCCTTTCTGATCTCCAATTTTGCTATCTGAATATCCATAACAGTGGCTCCACCATGGGGGGTGCTTGGATGTGCTAAAGCACCCCCAAAAATTCACCTAGCACCCCCCAATCACCGCCAACATAGTCTGTGCCTGCATTAAACTTTTACTACAATACAAGTAGAAAAGCAATAGCAGCATTGGCAGAGGGGAGTTGGACTTTACTGTGATGTGCTGAATAATCCCATGGCTTCCTGTGGCTTCCAATGCTTAGTCTATATTTCTGGCACCTCAGGACCGTCCATCTCAGGCGGAGTGATATACCATCAGTCTGTCTTAATAGTAGTTGTTCCTTGAGTCTGACACAGAGGGGAAGCAGAAGCGGCTTGGGGCGAAATGTCTTCTGGCTGGTGTGCACTGGTCAAGTTTTATGCTGTTTGGCCAGCTCACTGCTGATTGGCTGGGAAGCCGCCTCCATGTTCCCTCGTAGCACTGCCCATCAGAGGAAATCTCCCTGTGACTGGAAGTTTCAGTATCAGGGGTAAGTATTGAAGCATTTGAGCGAGTACCATTACTCACCCAAATACTTGGTATCAGCACCGATACTAATACTATTATCGTATCGGTGCATCCCTAGATACTAGTGTGGTGCCAGACCAGAATACCACGGGAGATACGTCAGCCACAAATGTGTATGTCAAATGGGCTGTGGACATGTAACATTATGAATAGTTTTAGAAGAAAAAGAGCAGTGTGCCTAACATATACACCTTTCCCCCAAATGTGCAGTGATTTGAATCATAGCTTCTATGTGGGACCACATTGAATGTTATGTCTAAATAGAACTGTACTATTACTGTTGTACATTTTGAAGAAATGGGCATTTGTCAGGGACATTACAAGTTTTTACACTTCTGAAGCTGGCCACACACTTCTATTTTTTTTTTCCTTCAACCCACGAAACAAAATAGAACAGATTCCTTCATCAACCCTACGAGTACATTGAGGAATCCCGCTGTTTCTCTTGTA